TAATTATAATTTTTATAAAATTATAATAATAACACTGTATGAAATGATATGGCTACTAAATTTTCTATATTCCCAAGTTTGAAATGAAAATCTTCAAATTTATGACATATTCATAGTATAAAATTTAGAAAGAAGTTTTCCCATTTTACATTATGACAATATATATATACACATGTACATCACAAAATTATTTCATGCTGATCAGTGATTTTCCCCAATATTTAAATAAAGGTTATTTCCCCAAGTCCAAAATAGGTATATTTTGATATATTTTCCCCTAAAAATGCTATTTCCCCAGAAATGCACTGTGCACAGCCTTCTCCATAAGCATGTCTTAACAGCAGCTGATCTTATATCAGTACATGATACATGTACATCTTACTCACTGAAAAGCTGTCCCCTATATATAAGATAGTCTCGGCTAAACTGTACCATGCATAGTTAAATTGAAATGAAACATTTTATAAAATGTTGTGTGTAAATTTATTATTTGTTCTCAGATGCAAGAATTTTTCTGGATTTCACCCTTTATCCTGCTATATTTTTCACTTAAGGAAGCCACAGTGTTTAAACAAAAATCACTCTATACAAACATGTACATGTACTGTATTAATATTAACTTACAGCCAAACCTGTCTGTAGTGGCCAGTAAGGGAATTGAACTAAAAAAAATTACGGACAGGTGACCACAGCATCCAGGTTGACGTCACATGAATAAGTGTAATATGTATATTTATGTATAAAAATGTATTAAGTACAATAAACTTTAAAAGCTTGCTTTAATATGTTTTTTGGCAAAATGATCAGCAGCTTGTACTCATTCATTATATTTTATATATCACATATATTTATTTATTCATATTAAGATTATATTTAGTTTTAAAGCAAGTAAATAAATGTCAAAGTTCAGAAATGTTCAGGAGAGAAAATGTGTGAGCAGATGGATAGGGCTATTGGTAGGGCCATGGAAACATGTTTCAAAGGTTCCTGGTTCGAGTCCCGATCAGGTTGCAATTTTTTCTCAACCTGTGACATTTAGTGCAGTCCAGAATTTAATTCACATTGCTCTGTTACATGAGAAAAACTTCAAGAGCTGAAATAAAATGTTGAGATAAAAATTATACAAATTATCATGATAATACTGGGCTGAGTTGACACCTGCTTAGTTGATGCAAAGCTTATTTAACAATATAAAGCTTTCAACAAATAGAAAATAAGATAGAAAGTGGCTAGCCGTACGGCTAGACAAAAGTTCTTGCCGTATGTGGGTCATCATACATGTGAACTCTCCCACTTATAGCGGGCGACTCCCACTTTCTGCAGCCATATTTTTAAAGATTTTTCTTAAAATAAGGGGTATTTTCACAAATTAAAGAAATCTCCCAATATTTGATGTCAGAACTTTCTTCTTTGTTTCTTAAAAATTCTAAAATCTCCTTCTTTTTGAAGAAAAATCTCCCACTTGATCATCACAAAAAGTTCACAATTATGGGTCATGTATGACTAGCAGGGTTTGCCTAAAATACGAAAGTGAGATTTTTGACGAAAGTGAGCGAAAGTGAGCGAAAGTGACTTTTAAAATTTGAATTGTACCGTTTTAATAGAATTTTACAGTAAAATTGCTGTTTGTAGACGTATATTATTAGTAACTAATTATATATATTATAATAAATAACCATAATCATAATTAAATCGCCATTTATTGGCCTAATTTTAATATACAAGTTCATCGCTCTTCCTTTCGCTTGCAAAGTGACTTGTAAAGTATTAAATATAGAGGTTAAATTGAAAATGTACTAAATTTGCAGTTTGTAGACGTGTATTATAAGAAATTAATATTATTCATTTTCTAAATTAATCATTACATTATGATGATTTATAGTTTTATACCCCATTTTTTTGCATAATTTCTATATACAATATCAGCGATCTTCCTTTCGCTTACATTGAAAAATACGAAAGTGACTTGTAAAATTTCAAATATAGAGTTTGATTGAAAATGTACTTAAATTGCAGTTTGTAAACGTATATATTATCAGAAATTAATAATTGATATTCAACACTATATTTCAATTAAACATTATATTTGATATTTTAGAAGTCACTTTCTTATCTTCTATGTGAGCGAAAGGAAGATTGCTGAACTTGTATATAGAAATTATGTAAATGAAATGGGGTTAAAAACATCATAATAAATACTTTTGAAAATAAATAATATTAATTTCTGATAATATATGCCTGAAAATGCAATATTAGTATAACTTTCAATTCAACGCTTTATTTCATATTTTACAAGTCACTTTCGTATTTTTCAATGTGTGCGAAAGGAAGATCTCAGAACTTGTGTGTAGTAATTATGCAAAAAAAATGGTGATAAAATCATCATAATGTTTATTTTTGAAAAGAAATATGATATATTTCTGATAATATACGTCTACAAACTGCAATTTTAGTATAAATTTCAATTTAGACTCTATATTTGATATTTTACAAGTCACTTTCGTATTTTTCAAAGTGAGCGAAAGGAAGATCCCAGAACTTGTGTATAGAAATTATGCAAATAAATGGCGATTAAATCATCATAGTGATTTTTTTTTTGAAAAGAAATATTATAAGTAACTAATAATATACGTCTTCAAACAGAAATTTCACTGTAAAATTCTATTAAAACGGTACAATTCAAATTTTAAAAGTCACTTTCGCTCACTTTCGTCAAAAATCTCACTTTCGTATTTTAGGCATACCGTGACTAGCACACTGTATTGTCTACCCGTACGGCTAGCCTTGCCACTTCCAAAAAGATATCTTAGCTTCACACCCTTTGTACATATAATTAAAATTTGACATCAAATTATGGTATATAGAATTTAATGAAAAGCATGTTTCTTACTACTGACATCAAATATTGGGAGATTACAGTAGTCAAAAGTGAAAAGAACAATGAAAAACATACCATGACACAGTGTATACTTCGTCAAACAGAAGACATATATTTTCCTCTACGAATATCACCATTTTCGCTGGAATCCTTATCTATGTAAGTGGCAGAAATCTGTCTAATTCCCAAACTTGTGTCCTCATCAGCAAAATACCAAAACAATTGGGTTTTCATTAACAACAAGTTCACTATCTAAATATGTTAACCCTTGAAAACACAGAGACTTTCCCGATCATGTCTTTGCACACACAAAAGTGTCATTATTCTGCTCAATGATAGATTGTACCACTGCCTTTTGAAACAGTTAAATGGATCCATAATTGAAACGTTTTGCAAGCTTAGGCAGCACACCACACTAAATGAAGCCACAGCTTCAAAAGGCCAGGGAGGATTTCATGGATATAGTGACTATTGTGGATTTAAATGACTGGTTGACTTTAAAATGCATTTTCAGCATGAAATTTGTTTTTGTAACATGTAATATGATCATTGGCAAATTCGAAAACATGGTTAGAAATAACATGCTGTTTATTATAGATGTCAAGGCCGCCATTGTTTGTAAACATTGCTTTTAAACAGCATGCTCGGTGAAAACAAGTGATTTTACAGGGGGGTACAAACTTTCAGCAATAGCAAAAAATCTACAAGGCCAAGCACCTATTTCTTTGTGATAGTATGCATGCATAGGGAGTTGCTAAAGCAGTGACAGAGTTTCTGTAGTCCGTATATTTGCAGGTATTTTTTGCCGGAGGGACGAAAAATGTTGTTTTGGGTCTCGGACCACTATAGATTTTTGGCTTTTACGGAATGAATTGGAATTTTTTTTAACTGCCTGACTGTTGCACATGGGATGATTTCATTACATATTTGCAATGTTATGACATATATGTTCTTAACAAAATGTGTTTTCTTTTTCCAGGTTGTGTAGTTTGGGATCAGATTTATTAGACATATTGCTTGTAGGACATTGACGGCAGAAACTTGAAATTTAGTGTGGAGTGCTACCTTAATTAGTTAACAGTCGCCATTTTGTTTACAAAATTTTGAGGAATTACCCGTCTATTTATAATTTTGTACACACGTCATCTGTTTCAACCAATGAAAATGCGTATAAAGATTTTCGGGCGATTTGGATTTTGGAAAACTTTCATTGGTCATTCAAAGTTCACTGTAAAGGTCAATATCATGAATCGACGCATTTTAAAACAGCGGTCTGAAGTAACATGAGTGTATTCAGTAAGCTGCGAAGGGAGCGTATGCGTTAACCCATTGATAAAACTGTATCACAAAAAATATGCTTATCCCAAACAAATGATACTAGATTGTATTGTGAAGGACATATGCTTATTTGTCTATAAGCATGTCTTAAATCTTTTTTAAACATTAAACATCCTTGACCTTTGGCTAAAATAAGTTTAATAAAATCATCAATCTTTGGAAATACTAAAGAAATAGATTCCCCTTAATATACATCCTTGTCAATGTAATCATTCACAGCATTGGAAGTAGAACTACTGAGATCCAAAATAACCCTTCTCTCAGAAACTGACTTTTTAGGAACAGAATTTAAGGGTGAAATCAAAAGATTATCTTCAAACGGGTTATTTTTAAAAGGACCAATGACAGCTGCATGGCTTAATTCCTTGACCAAATATTTTTCAATTTCAACAGGAAAATGAAATCCAAACTCTAAAAAGTCACAAACAAGTAAATCTTTGTAATCAAAATGCTTCAGACAAGTACGCAAATAATCAGTATTGATCCTGTCATTTATTCTAATTCGACAACTCTCAAAATTATAATTATTTGCCTGACTGTTTAACTGCTTTATGAATTCTAACCTTATGCAAAGATTGAGAAACACTAGGACCCTTTTTTATTTCCATACAAAGTGAACATTTATTTGTATGATTACAAATATGTGACTCTAGCGAAATTTCTACCTTACTTCTTATTTGACTGGAATGTGAATTCATTTGATATTCTAACAATCTTGTAGATTTTTTAGCACAAAGAAATTTTGGTAAAAAGATATCTTCTAATTTATTTTCATCCACAAAATTAGAATTTACATTACATTGTCACGCTAAAGTATGTGGACAGGAAGAAGAGCTTTCAGGATGTTGAAGTTTAACCTTATCTTTAATCCAACATGTGGCACAAATATGCTGAGCCATATGCATTTTTCCCCGAACAACAATCATGTGATTATGTTTTTGTTCGCATCTATTTCTTTGATATGCAGAACAAAACCATACTGGAGAACTGTCCGTGTCAGCAAATGGTTTGGAATATTGAGACGAAGGATATTTTTTGGGTTTGGCGCCCTGCTGCAAAGAACTCTTACTAGAAGAGTAATTGGAATTAAATAATACTAATTCTAAATAAGTGAAATCATCATTCCAAGATTTAGAACCTAGTTCAATTTCCCTAAGGACAGCTGCGTAGTATGATTTTAAAATCATGAGATGTATTCAAATACATAATTCTTTTTAAAAGACCTTCCGGTTTGCTCAGAAACCTTTGTTTTGGGGTCAGAAATTATCTCTAATTCCCCAGCGACGAACAAGTTTAGATCTAAATTTTGAAAAGAAATATCATGACTAACAAATTCATATCGCAATTTATGCTTATTTACAAGTTTTTTTCTTTTATAACTTGACTCTTCAACAGATTTTTCTTCACTATCCGAACTGGATTCTACATCATTACTTGATGACGAAATGTCCGAATCACTGCTGTCATCCGAACATACTTCAGATTCACTGGAACTGAAGGAATCCGGGTCAGCTCGGCCCTAAAACGTACTCGGCCCCCGAGTCAGCTCGGCCCTATTCCAACTCGGCACGGGTCAACTCGGCCCACTTTTCAATTATTAATATTTAGGTTTGTGTTAACACTATTCATTGTAATTATTGTAATTATTTTTAATACACGGATTGACAGTTTCGAACTAGCAGTAGACAAGCTTTTCTTATCAGTAGAATTGCGAGTAAAGATAACCGATTGCGTATCTCACTGTATTTCTACATATTTTTGTATTACTTTAACTAGATAATGCACAGACAAGGTCTTTCTATTTGGTAAAAGAAAAAAAAACGTATGCCACGTGCAAATGAATTTCGGCAGCAATCAATGCGCTTATAAATACGGAAGATTTAATTACAAGCTTATGATATTAAGTAAACACGTTTTTGTTTCATTTATTTTTTAATATTACTTTACAAACAAAATGCATCTAAGGAAACACATTTTATTAGAATCTAGATCTATATTAATTTTATCGATAATCGAATCTGCAAGACAGATAAATAACTTTTTTTTCTAAATATACTTTATTTCAGAAGAAGTATACAGTGCCTTATTCTCATCGATTCGTGCCTTCTTATCGATTCGTGACCTAAATAATTGTCTGGTATAAATACTTCTGCAAGGACATACACCATCCGAAAACTACACAAGTTTTATTAGACACTCGATTTGACAATTCTATCCAATCAAAATGCGTAATTGAACAGGTGTAACTGACCTTACCCTACAATCAGCTGGCGACCTAATTACTTTAAAATATTCGATATTGATGTTTTAATTTATCAAACACACTTATACTTAAGCCAAAAAAATATTCATTATGCTGTAAGAATTTACTTAAGACTTTGAAACATATATTGATCAGATCGGACTGAAAATAACCATGCGAACATTTAGTGGTGTTAGCACCTATATTTTGATGACGTCACAGGGTGAATCGGATTTCACGAATCGATGGGTAAGCGTACAGCTGAGCAAGACAATCATGCTTGACATGTTCAGATGCTCTAATCTTTGAGCGGTTGTTTTTAAAAGTAATTTAAAATTTTTGAACTTTTAGATAATGAATTTATTTAACAAATGCACTAATTGAACTGTATGTATGTCTGATATTTGTTGTGCAAGTGCAATTTTTCCAAATAAGAGTCATGAATCGACGAGAGAAAAGCATATATGTTTTTGTAAAGTGGGCCGAGTTCACCCGTGCCGAGTTGGTATAGGGCCGAGTTGACTCTTTTCCGAACTGAAGAGACCAATTTTTTTGGATTCCTTTTTTGCTTCCTTCTTGAGCTTTTTTAAGCCCCTCAAATCTTTAATTGTCAAATCTGACGGTGAAATTTTATCTAAAAGTTCTGCAGCAGACATTTTCACAAAAAATCTTACGACAATTTTTTGTCGTAAGAGAAATCTTACGATAAATCTCCTTTTCACAAAAAATCTTTAGAAAATCTTAAGTGCAAAATCTGTCGTAACTTTACGATAGGTCTTCCCCGTTCGTAAGTGTAATTTTTTCTCTCTTAAGGGTAAAATATCATGTATCTCTTACCTAAACTGAATAAAAATAAACAAAAAGTTGGAGGACAACTAAATATAAAGCAAACAGTATGCTATAAATAACACAAATTGAGGTATAATTATTTTTCAACATATACATTTGTGACGTCATGACTTGATGACGTCACGATGGAGAGGGTTATGAATAGTTTAAAATAATGTGAACTCCATACTGTAGACTAGTATTATTGAAAACTTATAATTTGTACAATTGGTGAGTTCGATTTCATTGCCAGCATGTACTAGTGGTACCTTTTTATTTATTAATAACATAGTAGACCTTCTTTCTGAATCTTTTAGATATATATAATTATCTTCAATCAAGATATAAATTATATTACTTTGAATCATTTTTTTTGTTCTTATTGAAATTTGATTGTGTTCAATACATATTTCAAGCTCTTTATTACTTGATTTTAAAACCGGAATCAACTATAGAGCATGCACATTACTATCAAATGAACGTTGCTAGGGATGTTTTTGTCGTAAGATTTATCGTAAGTGAATTTTTTATCTTAAGATAAAATTTTAACTTACGAGTGGCTTTGTGAAAATGACTTAAGATTTAACTTACGATTATCGTAAGTGAAAAACTTAAGATAAATCGTAAGATTTTTTGTGAAAATGTCTGCATTTTTAAGGTGCATCAAATGTCAGCCATATTGTTTTGTTGAAAATTTTAGGTCAAAAATTAAAACTTTCAACAGAAGTATTCTGAGGTACATTTGAAAAGGAAACTGTTGAGGCATTAATCCTTTACCTATAAAGAAGCTGTTACATTGCCTAAAAAGAAAAAGAAAATTAAAATAAAAACAAAAGCCTTACCTGAATCAGTTTGCAGCACATGTAACTTGTATGTCAAAATAAAGTTCCTTCCTATGATGAATATGTGATATGATGAATGAAAACTTTTTAAAGTAACATCTATGTTAGTGACACTGAATCTCCATTACCTGAAAAAATTATTTATCAAGTGAAAATTTATATTCCAATAAGGCCAGTAAACACAGCATTATCTAAGTCCAATGTTTACATAGCATGTACACAAAAGTAGCGCAAGGTTAAGTATGGTGTACTATTATGGACATGGGTTACTAATAAAAAAATTACTGCAATAATCCATAAGATAAGCAGGATAATATTCCTTCTTGTAATAATTCATTAAAATGAATTGAAACATGACCTTCTTGCAAAATTAATTAAACATAAAAAGCATAAATTCAGAAACTGTAAATTATTATATAGTATTAATTACATTCAAAGCTGTTGTAATATGATATTAATATTTAAAAGATATTATGCATAATGTTATTTAAATATTTTTTAAATACAATTTTTAAATATAAAAACATAGTTACAGTACATGGTATAATATAAATTGAAAGAGAAATAAAGTATACCATTACAATTCTATGAAAGTTAAGGTGCCTTCATTATAGTCTTTGATTAAAAAATCTACTTCATATGACGCGTCTTCGCCTTCATATAGCACCTCATATACTGCATCAGGATTTCCGTCTTTTCCAGAAGAAACAGAAAGCACGGTGCCTTTTTACCAATTTAGAGAGCCGTCTGATTCTGTCCACTGGTGGTTGATTCTCCTCCCAAGGAATTTTAATTTTCTCAAACGTGTTGCTCTGCAAAT